TAGAAATAGTAATAGTAATAGTAATAAGAATGAGAATCTCCATAGTAAAAATAATAATAATAGTAATAATAAGGTAGTAGTAATAAAGTTGTAGTAGTGGAAGTAGCAGCGGTAGTAGTAGTGAAAAAGTAGTAGTGGTAGTCGTAGTAGTAGTTGGATTAGTAGTGTCATAGTCATCGTCGTCGTGGTCGTCGTCGTGGTCGATGTGGTCGTTGTCGTCGTGGTAGACGTGGTCGTCGTCATCTTAGCTGTTATATTATTAGCATCTATTTCGTTGTGGTGGTGGTAGTGGTTGTAGGTTGGGTTGTGGGTTCTGGGTTCTGGGCTGTGGGTTGTGGGTTATGGGTTCTTGTGGTGGCTCTAGTGGTAGTAGTGATGTAGTATTGATGTAGCAGCGATGTAGTAGTGATGAGCAGTGATGTAGTAGTGATGATGTATATAGTAGTGATGTAGCAGTGATGTAGCAGTGATGTAGTAGTGATGGTGATGTAGTGGTGGGTGATGTAGTAATGTAATGATGGTGTAGCAGTGATTTAGTAGTGATGTAGTCGTGGTGACAGTGTCAGAATAAATCAATTGTCATATACTTCAAGCTTCCATGTTTTCACAAATTTGAAAAAATGATCTTTGCCAAAGAAAATGCGTGATAATTCCTGAGAAATAAAACATATACAGCATATTTTGGACCTAGTGCGGAACACAAGCCTGTGAAAGTAATTAAGCGTTGCAGTGATGCCGAGTACGGGAACTGCACGACAGGCGCCAGCCTGGAGAGCTTCACCTGGTTCAAAGCTGGTTGCAGCATTCGTCTTGCCTCCGCTATCAAGTTTGCAAGTCACACAACTACCGCGCCAAACGGCTGTAGAAGTTCATCGATACTCGAAAAAGGTTTTGTTTCTTGTTTACTTGGGGATTTCTACATGCGCTGGTGAGTTTGCACCATGGGTCGACGTCACGGAGACAATATGAAACATTGCGTTTCAAAAGGTGTTAACCTGCAATGCTGATGTTTTTTCCCAGGAAAAATCCAAGTGGATCATTTCCTGATAAACCCATGGATTTCGCACGATGTTAGTTTCCCGCAGGGTACCGATCACGTGAACATTTGCGGATCCCACATGCTCAATCGCGAGCAGCCGTTACAGTGCAAACGAAGTCACCGTTATCTTTGGCGAGGTTGTTTGATCATCTTTGATTGTGCGGCAACTTCGACGTGGGGAGGCGAGGCTGTAGATCGTTGAGCAGGTTGGGTGGGCAGTCAACTTCATTTGGTGCATTTCTGCTGTTGCCTTAACGAAACGCAAGTTTGGCCGGTCGAACTTGACTTGGAAGCACATTTTTTGTGGTTCAAAAACGACATCTCGCCACGTAACACATCGTAACACACTATGTTGTGGATCATCACCAGCAGCCGATCAAAACACCGCGCGGATACAAAAGAAGAACTTGACAAATCGCCAACGCTGGGGTGGTCGGAACATCAGATTGCCATTTCCACGCCGATGGCTGGTCAAGAGTTGGATCATACTGGGAAGGCATTTAATCAGGGGCAACAGACAAAAAAAGGCACCCCATTAGTTGGAATATTGGTGGTTTGGACCAGTCCAAAATGATTGCTCCGTGGGGAAAATATGTGTGGCGCCACATGATGTTCATTAATGTTAAGTTCATATTGGCAAGCAGCCCAAATTCATCAACACCCACATGCCAAAAAATGTTTGGCAATACTGCTATGGGTTGGTCCCTCCCTTTTATTAAGCATGTGCGACCCCCCTATTGAACAACACCCTTCTCAGAAATCTTAATTTTGTGGTAATCAGGAATTGTGTTGTAATGGTATTACTGTAATTGTTTTTTAATTGTTGAAAAAGTAATGTCTTGAAGGGATGTCCCATGCCCAATCTCACCATCTCACCCCATTGGGAGGGAGGTTGCCACTGCAAAGAGAAATCTCGACCCATTGGCAGGCAGGTTGGTGGTTTTTGTGTATGACAAGCCCCAGTTTTTTAATTGGGGGGGACTCTTACATTCTAGGGGGGTTATTAATACGAACTTGGCCGGCATTATCACCATTTGGTTGCTTCCTAAAAACAGGGTTTCCCATGAAACCATTGGTTTCTATGTGTTTCCCATTCAAACCATCGGAACATCAATCAGGGATGGACAAAAATTCAACGGGAAGCTGCCCAGGGTGAGGATGACAGCAAGACACAACAAGACTTGACAAATCCACCGGCTCCGAACGTCGCGAAGCTTTTGGGCCAATCCCTGCAATTCTTCGCAAGAATCGCGCCGTGAAACAGACCATTTTTCCATGGTGAGACACGCAGAAATCGGATCCTACTGGTGAGCTCTTGGCAATTCCCTCAGAGACTACAAATGCCCAGAACCTGGAACTGGAACTGGGAAAATCAGGTGGCTGCGGGTTGGCTCCCCCAAATTTTCCCTAGTGTACCAGTGGAATCCAATGGATATATGCTAGCTCTGCCACATGTATTGGATATTTGTTTAGTGGTTGCATTGAGGGCGGAAATTGTGGTATTTTGAGTCCCCTATCACCAAATGTAGCCAATCATTTGAATCCTCACCCTTGCAAATTAATTACTTGGCCCCATGTTTTCATCATTAACCTATATTGCAGTTGTAATTAAAACCATAACTTCCCATCATACAACTGATTGGAGGTATCAACTCCCCTGAAAAATATGCTCGTCATCGGGGCTCATCGTTTTTTTGGCCTATATGGTTGCAAACCGCAGCATAACAAAAACAAACACCAACCAGATCATCGTTGGGCTGGCCCCCTATATTACATACACCCATAATTTAGGGGTTGCTTCTAACAGTAAAAAAAAGGAGGTAAATATATATATATATATATATGTTATAATATATATATATATATATACATAAGGGTATGATTCCATAACCATAAGTTACCCTTAAGTATCCCAAAAATTACCCTTAAATATCCCAAACATTACCCTTAAATATCCCAAACATTACCCTTAAATATCCCACACATTACCCTTAAATATCCCACACATTACCCATACACATCCCAAACATAATCCTTAAAATATCGCAAACATTACCCTTAAATATCCCACACATTACCCATAAATATCCCAAACATTACCCTTAAACATCCCGCACATTACCCTTAAGATATCGTACATATTACCCTTAAATATTCCAAACATGACCTTAAAATATCGCAAATACTGCCCAAAATATCTCTAAACTAACAATTAAAACATGACATCAGCTCAAGGTGTATTTTTTGGAAGTATGCTTGGTTCAAACAACTGCTCATTACATTTGTCCTGCTCATCAAAATTATCGGGTGACTTTATGACAAACATGTTGTCCAAATTGGCATTTTTTGACCAGAAAGTTAATCAGACAAATGACCCCAACATGTCGTCACCACCAACTCACCAACCCCCAAAATAGTACCCTTAACTCCGGGAGTTAAGGGTAATTTTTAAGGGTAATTAATGTTTAAGGGTAATTTTGGGGGTTTCTGAAAGCTAATATGCAAATATTACCCTTAGTTTGGACCTCCCAAATATTACCCTTAACTCCGGGAGCTAAGGGTAATATTTTGGGGGCAAATTTGGGTTCATTTTGATTAATGTTCCAATATTCTGGGCACGTGTTTTTGGTGAGCTGGTGACGATGTCAAAATGGATTATGTTCAAGTTCGTTAAAGGATATTTTCATATCATGACCCTACACATATTTGGGGTGTAAATTTTATGATCATTTTCTACTACCCTCATCTTATTTTGAATGGTTATTTTTGTTACCCTTAAGGTGTAGTTTTAAGGGGTTATGTTTGGATAAAGAGTTACTGTTACAGGATATCTTTAACCATAACATACCCATTTCAAAATTTAGATGGTTATCCTTCCCCAAAATAGCATAGACCTTGCCAAACTGAGGGTTGGATTTCCAGTCAAAGATGACTATATTAAGTTGGTCAAACTGTTAGTTTCTATGGTAAGTCCCCTAAGAGGGCGATCCCATTTATATATGACTTACAAAAAAAAGAAACAGTAGCTAACCCATTTACTAAGTACTAAGTACCCTAGGAATCCCTACCCTAAAATAGCTGGTGAATGAATCTGAATGATGTTTGTCCTCCAATCCAAATATGCTAATAATTCAAAGGTTTAGACCCATCCCCCATCCCCCGGCCAATTTACTCACCATTTAGTGAGGTGATCTCAGTGTTAGGCGGCCGCACGCTCCAGATCTCTTCGGAAGGCTGAGGTGGCCTGGGCCAGACGATCTGGTTGACATTGGAAGATCATGGGAAAATAAGACGTGATATCAAGATATCCATAATGATATACATACATACATATATTTATATTATGTTTATATATATATATGATATGTATATGTATAATTATAAATAAATATGGATATATATCGGGGTTTCCTAAAATAGGGTACCCCCAATCATCCAAAATTTCACTACTTTGGTATTCAAACCCATGATACGGAGGTTTCCTAAGTCATGGGGGTACCCCTTTATCGCTGGATGGTGTATTTCATGAACAGTATATACATATTATATACATATTATATTATATCTCAAATCCACCCTATTCCGTCAACTGAGATGGAAAGGACATCGTTGAATCCACTATATCTGCAGACTCTGGTTGGTGGTTGAGCCTAGCCCTCTGAAAAATATGAGCTCGTCAGTTGGGATTATGACATTCCCAATTAATATAGAAAAATATCAGATGTTCCAAACCACCAAGCAGTACTTGTAAAACAAGTTCTGCTTCAATTGGGTTGAACACTCAGTCTTTCTGAAGATCGACGAGTGATTTGAGTATAGTAAAACCCTTCGGGTGAAATGGTACCTTAAAAGGCATGGACTCAAAGTTGCAAGCTCATGTCTTTTTAAAGCAACACAAACCACAAGAAAATACGAGGGATGTGCGCTGTTTCCGTCTATGTCCAATGACGAATGTGAACTCCAAAAACCATCCAACATCGCTTCGAAGACTGGGTGACCCGCCCAGGGCTCCGGTTGACCCAGTCTTGTTTTCAAATCCACCTGCCCAGCTCTTAACATTCCTGCATCTTTGCACAGGCGATGTCGAAAGGTTTCTTTAAAAGGGCTTGCAGCAGGCCTTGTGCCCTCACTGGTAAGCCCAACAAAAGATTATAGATTCCAGGAATGGCTCAAAATCATTGGCCGCCCAAAAGAATGGATGGTTTAAGTATGTTTAAGTCATGTAGTGAATCATGTTACAACCAAAGTTGCGCCAAAGCCTCACAGATACAACTGGTCCTTGGGGGCATCACCCTTGGCGCCATCGGTGATGTCCTGAAGTCCTAAAGATCCGTCTTCCAGCGGCCAAGTGTGAGCTTTCGAGAAATCCAAACCTGGGTCACGGCTTGGTGGCTGAGCCTCCCCCGAATAATGGATGGTTCATAAGCCCTTCTAAGTGGCTGTTGGTGGTAGATAAGCCTTTTCAAGGGTTTTTGGATGTTTTCGGTATATCAATTAGGGATCATCGTCCCAGGTCAGCGGGCTGTTGAACCAACGAAGTGAAAGATGCGGAGAGCTGTGGCCAATATTGGCCAATCAGTTGGAATCTAATACAACATGTAATACATAAATGTTAAACAATAAACACCATTGTGGTTAGTGGTTCCTCTCGATTTTTGTTGGCAACCCCTCCAGTCTTCAGAAAACACCACCACCCTGGCACCAGCTTGGCACCAATTCGGCCAGGCCACGTTTCAGATCGATCTTCCGCCACTGTGAATTCACATAGCCCCGGATCAGCATCACCTTCTCCTGACAGCTCTTCAAGACCCCATAGTCTGTGAGCTCCGGCCCATCCCCGGGCTCCCGGGGGTTGCCGGCCACGGGGCCCACAGGGAGGAAGACGTTGTTCAAGAGACCGGTGCCCAGCACCACGGCCTCCTGGAAACTCGTCATGGCACGAGACTGCAGGGCATAGCCACGGAGGTAGAACAAACGCACGAAACGACTGGGAGGGGAGGAATCTCCTGGCAAAAATTGTGAGTTGGAGATCATCTTAGCAAACCTACCTTTGACCCTTGTTGCAAAATCATCCTGTTTTTAAAGTTGGATCATCGAATCAACTTTGGAGATAGATCATCTTCAAAACCAGCCAGTCCTGGAAGGCCGAAAAGGTTCCAGCCATGACCAATGGGTCTTGGCACAGCTCCAATGTCAGCATCCGTCTTGACTTGCAGTATATCGTTTTGCCAAGGGTAATGGGGGTTCAGGTTCACGTAGGTGTTCAAATTTCTCCAATGCCATCTGATATCAGGGTCGTTGGTCATGACCCTTGGATGATTCTCATGGACCATTCGCTGGCCCTCCAAGTATTCCACTATGATAGACCGCCCCGAGGTGTCCGCTATGGCCCAATGGAGGCCACCAAGGCTCTGCTTTCCATGCCTGATTGATGGTTCAGCACCTCCCAATGTAAAAGTCGGTGCAGATTATCATCCCCTTTCACAGAAAGAAACAACAACTATACTTGTGTAACTCGCTATATAAGATTATATAAGTTATATATATATATACATATACACTGTATATAGTTAGCTTAAAACAAAAAACATATAGATCAAAACCAACAACCAGCAGCTTTGGAGCCACCACCTTCACACTTTCCAGCAGTTTAATGACATCTTCCACACAGGAACAGTTGGCCAGCAGCCTTGGTACGACCTCTAAGGCGCTCAACGGTTCATCCTGATCCGTGGGTGCTTCATAGACGGCCTGTGCCAGGTAGTGGGCCGAGACAGTTAAACCTTGGTCAAGCCGTGTTTGTCATGGTGGATTTACCAACAAACCACTATGGCATATGGGGAAAATTGGCTTGGGGAACCCCCAAATTTCATGGTGGATCATCCATTTTCCACAATTATTTACATGGCAATTTTGGGAGTATCACCGTCCTCCAACTGTTGGGCCCAAATAGAAAATCACTCCTCAAAATCACTCGGAAACCCTGCTCGTTCATCCCTTCGAAGGGAACTTGGATGGGCAAGCCGTCGAAATGGAAGTGGTTCATAGGGGCCACGTAGCCAAACTTCCCATGCTTAGATCCTGGTGGTTTCATTAATACATATGCCCCTCACATTGGGGCCCCCGTGTGATTAGCTATGGGAGTGGCTGCAATTTATTCGCCATACCTGATATTCCCTGATATTAGCCGTGACTGAGAATGGGGATAATAGGGTAGTACCACCAAATCTCAAGGTCTTAATTTCTTCATGTTCCATAAGACTTGGAGGGATCCCAATAGGTCTTCAACAAACCCACGCTGTTTGTAGGCACCATTTTCAGAGTCTCCTCTTGGCACCGCTTCGATGCTGTACTCGGTCGTACCATACAGATTGGACAGCTCCATGGTTCGAGCGATGAGGTATGAAGGCCGAACAGTGCTGTTGGCTTGCCAGGGAAGCTCCACATAGCTGCAAGCCCAGGATACAGGCAAAAACACCAGAGAAGTCCACCTCATGGCTGCCATGGCTCTAGAAATGGGCGCAGGAATATGCTTTGAAAGAAGGGCGAACTGAGCCCACAGTTTCGAACTTGGCGAAGACCCAGGGTGGTTCAACATAGAAAGTGTCCCTTTGTTTCTTGCTACCTTCCAATTTCCAGCATCTCAAATAACACTCGACGGCCATCATAATACATCTGCCCCCCAGCAGGACGTCATATGATGTCATATTTTTTTCAATCTGGGTACAGTTGAAACATTGTTGAAACATTGTTGAAACAACACGGGTGCCAATAGATCCAAACAGATCCAAATGGATCAAATTGAAACATTGAAACAACTACTTGAATTCACAGGTCAATAACCTCTGCGGCCATTTCCCATTGCAGTGACGGGCTGATCTCCCTCCAGTTGGAAACCTATCCCCAAGTGCTTCGTCTATTCGTGTCCTACCCAAGGGCCCAAGGGGTCCTGACAACGGAACATCACCATTCTAAACTCCAATAATAAACCATACATATTCTGATGGTTTATACCGCCCATTTATGGTAAAATATTGCATCATTTACTATATTGCTTTACCCATGTAAAATAAATATCAATGTCAATTATTGTATCGAACAAATGAATCAAATGCTTCAGCCATGGTTGATTGTACTAGAAGGTATCACAAGGTACCCTCTGGTAAACTAACATAGCTATTGAACATCACCATTTTTCATGGGAAAATCCACTATTTCTATGGCCATTATCAATAACTTTTTGTATGTTTACCAGAGGGTATCCATGTTATTGAATGCTTTTCATTTCCTTCAACCCTTCCGAAACACATCAGCGATTGACCATGAAATCTTCACAGCTCAACCAGGGTCAACTGGTTACTGCTCAAAATGTGGAGAAAAATGCGGCATTTCACTAAACGCCCCCACTAACTAATTAATTAGTCCCTTATAACCTATAACAGGTTATTATACATATATATAATATAATATGTATATAATATAATATTATATATATATAATTGTATATAATATATATAATATAATATATAATCATAATATATATATATATAATATACTATATATTTACATATATGATATGATCTGCCATAAACCACAGTTAAATTGGAATTATCTGCACCAACTTAGCCATCCTTTGGGGGCAGCTTTTGCTGTACCCTGCTGGTATCAGATCCGCCTGTTGATGACCCTGATAGGCAGGACCTTCGCCGCGGTGCATCCTGAGCACGTCTCTTCTCTCATCGTTCTTGGGAAATTCACACCACTGCTTTCTTTTTGGAATAAGTATAATAACTTATTACCCATGTCATACTTATTTCTTGGAATAGTAGTTCTTGGAATAAGCGACACTTGTCCCATTTAGCAATGTGGCAATGTGATAATAAGTTAATATCATTTGCCCTATCTCATGGTGGGAATATGGCATAATATTATAATAATATGACGACATGACGACCCCAAAATGGGGTAGCCATGGACCCATAGATTTGGGACATTGTACGTAGTTAACGATCCAGATTTGGGTCCTGTAGAACCTTGAGCCATTCACACATCGTGGTGCCATTGGTAACATGATGAAATCCCAAGGATTACTTTATTGGTTCAATTACTATGTTCGTTGTTTAAATCCACATGTGAAAGATATCCCATGCCATGTCGGTTAGAATTATCCAAACTCATGGAGTTACCTTTGTTGCTGATTCAATGATCTACCGTATACCATCCCCAAATTAACAGTTTGACCCTGGGGGGAATAGCCAATTTTTAGTGGGACCCAATCCTTCAAACCCCTATTTAAGGCAGGCTAAGGTTGATTTGGGGAAGGTTAAAATATCATAAAATATCGCCATATAGAAATCATCAAAGTCACGAAACAATTGCTGATGAAACCATCCCAAAAATCCAAGTATCATCTAGAATCATCTAGAATCATCTAGAATCAAATAAAAAATAAATAAAAAAAACACCACCAACCCCTATTTTGGGCATTTTTTTTTTGGGTAATCCAAGATCTCCCCATCCATCCCCATGGCATCCAACCATCCAAGGTGCTGAAACGCCTTGCGCGATGGCGCGATGGAGGACGGCACCTCGTTGGCGAACTGGCCCACCACCTGCCGTGGCATGCCGTGGAAAGCATCGAGAATGGATGGTGGTGATATGATGGTGATATGATATCTATATGGTGATATTTTTATGCTATGATAATTTGGGTAATGGATGGTTATGGTGATATTATGCCATTATAATATGCTATTATTCAGTTGTAGATATTTGTAGAAGCCCTGTTTGGCTTACTGCTTTTGCCGTAAAACGCTGCGGGTGAAATCGAGGGGTTAAGCCACTGTTCGGTTGTAGCCTAGAACCATATAGACCAATCCCAAAATTCTCACCATAACTGCAGATAACTGCACATCTTGATTGGTTTATATTGGTTTATATTGGTTTTTACGTGTTTAATCGTGTTTATACAATTGAGATGCATTAGTATACATTAATATACCACATAGTTGCCATATAGCAAATAATGATAGATAATGACGTCTACCACTTCAACCCCCATCCCCTCAATCCCAACCCACCCCACGCTGGTCCACCTCACCCAACCCCCCAAACCAAACCCTGAAGCCCACCCCACCCCGATGTTATGAGGTCTTCAAACCATTGCAACGGGGACTTAGCTCCCAGTATACCCAAATAAACTATATGATACTATATGACTTATTTGACAAGCTATGATATATGAATTAAAAGGAATTAAATATAGATCAGGATCAACGTGTAATATATATATATATAATCATACAGTTTAAGTTTGTACATAATTTGTTGGTGATTGTCCTTGCCAAGGCCAGGTCCTGGATACACCCGTCTCAGCTATTTGGATCCTCATTTCAACCGATAATGAGCAGTTGGGTATGACTAGTGATCAATAATCCGGATTACGGAGAAAAGTGATAATCAAAAATAGGTCATTATTTGGAATTATGACTGGTGGTTTGTATGATTGAAAATCACTAAGTCCTTACGAGTGCGCAACCCGCTGGCTCAAGTCGTCCTGGGCGCCCCTCACTGCATGCTGCTTGTGTTCCGCGCGGTGCTTGGCCGACTGAAAGAAGCCTGGCAGAAACCAGCAGAATGTAAGGTAGGTTTCACCTGGCAAAATGCAGATTATACCAGCATAAACCCATATAAACAGCCATATAAACAGCATTTGAACCTCTAAAGATAATGATTTCACCAAGCAAAATGAGGTCATCTAAAGTCAACTGCAAACTTCACCTCTAGTTTCTCCTCAAAGGAAAAACGCAGCTTGCCAAATATATGAATTTGGTAATTTGCTCATAAAGTTCAATAACAAAATGCACCAACAAATTCCACATAGTGAATTGAAACCAAACAATGACACGTACACATCTAAAAAAGATACATCTCCGAACACAATTTCTGAAAAACAGTATGAATGTGAATGTGGTAAACCCGAGAATAGAGGAATACCTGTATATACCCAATTCCATACACCTCAAACTTGGGGATGTTTTATGGCATTGGCTTTACCGCATTATTTCATTAACTAATCATCATTAGATAATCCCAATGATCACCCCAATTATAAATCCCTATTATTGGCTCTACCACATTTTTGCACATTCTTAACCACTACTAACCATAGAATGGCCATGATTAACCATGATTAACCACTAGTAACCGTATAACCGTTATTAACCAATGGTTAACCACTACTAACCATAGATTAACCATTGTTAACCATACAAAAACCGTGCTAATCATAGATTAACCATTAGTAACCATAGATTAACCCTTAAAAAACATAGATTAAACATAGGACCATAGGAACACCCATTTCCCTTGCTGGTTTCATCATCCTCCCAGGGGCTTACCACCGCCTCGCACCGCTTGGCACCTCCAAGACCAGCAGGTCGGATTCCGGCCGAGAGCTGAGAGGTGGCCGTGGCTTCCTGGGATTCGAAAGACTTCAGAGTTGTTTGGGGAGGTAAACATAGTTCAAAAAAAACATGAAATGTATGTAATATATATATATAATATAAATAATTATAAATATAAATATATATAATATATATATAATATATAATCATATATGTAATATATATATATACATATGTGTCTGCGTGTGTTGAAACTTAAATGAGATTTGAGGTCAACTCCGGATTTGAAACCATTAGAGCTATCTGGGGAATTCACCGGTCGAAATATGCGCAATTGAAGACAAACCATTGGAAAACCCACAAAGAAGTTGGCCTTGTAAGCATCAAATACTGGTATTTCTCCAGCAAAAGATAAGGCAGTGCGACAATGGAACCAGCTTGGTATGTACCATAGAAGCATCACAAGATAAGTAGACAAGTTACATCTTACTAAGATATTGACATAGGCGACATAGGGATACGATTCAATTCCGTTTCTATTTTTTGGGGTTACTATAGGAGTTTTGTATTTTCACAATTTAGCTCATGAGGCATCAGACATGCAAGGATAGACTGACCAAACGAAACCAATCTTGCTATCGTGGTTGAACCAAATCCGTAAACCTCCTTTCTTGCGGGTTTGCTAAAATTAGTGTCTGGTACGTCATTGGAATGATCTCCGCTTAGGGTTTTATCAGATTGTATCATCCATTTGAGTAGGATTTTCCATTATAAACCATCCAGCTATTGGAGTAACATCATTTTAGAAGGACCTCTATACATATATATAATTATATGATATATATATATGTAATTAAATTATATATATATAATTATAGAAAAACAAATACATATCATATTACCATTCCATACCATTCCCACCATCCACGACCCACTATGAACTCAGTTCTGGACGAGAACCAAAGGATCCGCCATCCTCGAAAGCCTCGGGCTTTCGAGCCTCTTTCGAGGCGATGTGGATCGCTGATCATCAATTGATGCCCAACAAAAAGCATCCAAAAACTTATGTGACTATGATTTCTGAAAGTACTATTGGTTTATATATGTCTACAACATCCAGAATCCAGAAATTAATATATTCAGTGAAT